CGTCATCCATCTGCACTCCACCGTAGATGGTACGCAACACCTTCCGTTCGAAAACACCAAGGGCGCGTTGGTCCTCCACGAGCATAGTCCAGGTCTCGTGGGCGTAGAGGACCACCGGTCTAATCAGCGTCTTGTAGACAGTCAACTTCGTGCGGCGGCGAATTTTATTCGACCGGAGCGTCCTCCGGAGTCCAAAGTAGGCACGATTCCCTGCCATAATGCGCCTTTGAATTTCTCTGCTGGTATCATTTTCGGCGGTCACCAGTGAGCCCAAATACACGAACTCATCGACCACCTCGATTTCGTCACCGTCAATCTGAACTCGGGGTGGGAGGCTAACATTGTCTTCCCTAGAACCTCTTCCTTTCATGTATTTTGTCTTTGATGCGTTGATGGCAAGTCCAATCCGTCTAGCTTCAGCCTTCAGTCTGGTGTACGTTTCCGCCATCATCTCAAAGTTCCGTGCCATGATGTCAATGTCATCGGCGAAGCCAAGAAGCTGGATGGACTTCCTGAAGATCGTGCAACTCGTGTCTATCCCAGCTCTTCTGATCACACCTTCTAAGGCGATGTTGAACAGCAGACACGAAAGTCCATCACCTTGCCGTAACCCCCTTCGAGATTCAAAGGGACGCGAGAGTGTCCCCAAAACTCGAACAACGCACATCACTCGATCCATCGTCGCCTCGACCAATCGCGTCAGTTTGTCCGGAAATCCGTACTCGTGCATAATCTGCCATAGCTGATCTCGATAGATTGTGTCGTATGCGGATTTGAAATCGATGAACAAATGATGTGTGGGCACGTTGTATTCGCGGCATTTCTGCAGAACCTGCCGAATCGCGAAAATTTGGTCCGTGGTAGCGCGGACACCTATGAATCCCGCCTGGTATTGAACCACGAACTCTCTTGCAAATGGTGACAGGCGGTGGCATACAATTTGGGAGAGTACCTTGTAGGCGGCGCTCAGCAGTGTGATCGCGCGGTAGTTGCAGCAATCCAACTTGTCGCCCTTTTTGTAGATTGGGCATACAACACCTTCCATCCACTCCTTCGGTAATATCTCCTCCTCCCAAATCTTGGCAATTACCCAGTGCAGCGCTCTAGCCAGTGCTTCACCACCGTATTTTAATAGCTCACTTGGTAGTTGATCTACACTAGTTGCTTTGTTGTTCTTCAGCCGACCGATCTCCTCCTCAACTTCTTGAAGATTAGGGGCCGGTAGGCTGTCGTCTTCTGCGCGTGCTCCAAGGTCTGTTGCCGTGCCACCTTCGTTTTCTGCTACTTCACCGTTGAGGTGCTCGTCATAGTACTGCTTCCACCTCTCAATCACCTCACACTCGTTCGTGAGAAGGTTACCGTCCAAGTCCTTGCACATATCAGCTTGCGGCACGTAGCCTATGCGCGAACTATTTAGCTTCTCGTAGAACTTCCGTGAGTCGTTTCCGCGGTACAGATTTTCCATCGCCTCGCGATCTCGGTCTTCCTGCTGACGCTTCTTCCTTCGGAAAACCGAGTTTGGTCTGTTCCGCGCTTGTCTGTATCGCTCCACATTCAATCTCGTGCGATGTTGCAGCATTCTTCTCCTCTACTAACAGTTTGCATTCGCCGTCAAACCAGTTATTTCTTCGGTCCGGGATTGCAGTACCTAGTGCCGCTGCAGCAGTACTACCTATGGCGGAACGGATGTCCCTCCAGCCATCTTCAAGAGAAGCTGCGCCAAGCTGCTCTTCCGTGGGTAGTGCAACTTCCAGCTGCTGCGCGTAGTTCTGGGCATCTCCGGCGTCCCGTAGGTGCTCAATGTTGGGTCGCGGTTATGCACCGTCGAGAGTTTTGAGCGCATGCGTACTGCAACTAGGTAGTGGTCCGAATCTATGTTCGCACTGCGGTATGTGCGGACGTTGATAATGTCGGAGAAGAAATAGAAATAGAACGTGATCAATTTGGTTTTCTGTGTGTTGGTCAGGTGATCTCCAGGTGGCTTTGTGGATATCCTTACGGGGGAAAAGGTACTTCGAACTACCATACAAAGTTCACGAATCGTTGGCCGTTGTCGTTCGATACGGCATGCAGGCTGTTTGGCCCGATTGCCGGTCTATACATTACCTCACAGGTAGGACTGTGCGTTCATGTTGCCGATGACGATTTTGACGTCCCGTTGCGAACAACCGTCGTACACCTGCTCCAGCTGCGCATAGAACGCTTCTTTCTCGTCGTCGGGTCCCCCTTCGTGTGGGCAGTGCACGTTGATGATGCTGTAGTTGAAGAAACGACCCTTAATCCTCAACTTGCACATCCTCGCGTTGATCGGCTGCCAACCAATTACGCGTTGGTGCATCTTACCCAGCACTACAAAGCCGGTTCCCAGCTCGTTGGTGGTGCCACAGCTCTGGTAGAAAGTAGCCGCTCGATTCCCGCTTTTCCATACCTTTTGTCCCGTCCAGCAAAGTTCCTGCAGTGCTACGACTACGAAGTTGCGTGGTTGAAGTTCGTCATAGATTAACCTATCGCAGCCCGGGAAGCCGAGCGATTTCCAGTTCCATGTTCCGAGTTTCCAATCGTAGTCCTTATTTCGTCGCGTAGGTCTGTGCCGATTGTTCCGATCCGTATTTCTTTCTTCAGTATTTGCAACTTTATGTTTTTTTCCAGGGCGGCTTGTTGGGTCTGCCCCGACACCCTGTCTCGCCGGGGGACCATCGTGCACAGCTTTGTTTAGAGTCCCACGCTGGCACTAGGACGGTGATCAACCACTCCTAACATGGAGAACAGGCGCCGTTTTGTTGTCCTGTGCGTTCATATTCCGATCACAACTACGAATTTATTCTAATAAGACAGAGAAAACCCCGGAATTCTAGGATCAGTTTCATTAATTGACCACTTTTACGGATGTTCCGGATCTTCCGGTGGGCCATCTAGTATTTTCCAGAGTATATATTCCTATCACAACTCCTAATTCATTCTGATAAGACGTCTATGAGTGGTTTCGAGAAAACCCCGGAGTTCTAGGGGCAGTTTCTTGAATTTATCTTGTGATTTGGATTTTCCGGATGCAAAATTTTCTCAAAAGGTGGTTATCTATCTTGTTCATAACTTTTCAGAAGACACCAGTAAGTTATCTCTTCAAATTACCCTACAATAAGAGTTTGTCCCCAATTAGCTCTAATCCCATATGATACGTGTATTCGTTAATGCAAGTTCCTATTATGTGGTCCTCATTAACCGTAATATAGGAATCTTGACTGAATTTGATTTCCAAACTAAATGTCCGTTGTTTCGTATTTATGTCAAATGCCCAATCTATTATTTTTCTGTGTATTTTATGCCAAATGACCATTATGCCAAACGGCTCTTGGTTTAAAAAAAAGTTATGCTAAATGACCTTATGCAAAACGACTTTATGCCAAATGGGGTAGCCCCTAGGTTTCCTGACAAAGTTCTATTTTGGGCCACCCTAGGGAAGAGCCTATCGATTTCTGATGTAGGTGGCAAAGTGTTTGTTGCAGAGGACGGCGGGAATACGGATGTAGATGTAGTCGTGCTGCATAACGCATCACGTGTACCCGTTGACAATTCCGGAGTAACCCACATAAGGCTCGGTAGAGCTGTTGTGGATGACAAGACTAACGATGGTGTCAAATGCTCAAACGGCGTTGCAAGCGTTGATGTCATCTGCGCAATCTACGCGAACTGCGGTAGTGGTCTTGATGATTTGGAGCAACCTGTTTCTTGTGTAGGTTCTAGGCTCGTAGCAGTATGTCTGTAGGCCACAGATATTTGTCTACCTTGGCAGGAATCGAGCCAGACGTTGGCTTGCTGTCGAAGTTTATCGCGGAATTAAGACAATTGACACAACTTTTTTAAATTCTTCTCAGTACTTATTTAGAATATTCGTTAGAAATTGACATGGATCCACTTGACAATCGTCAAGGAATTCCCCATAGAACTGCCAAAAGATTCTACTTTGAACTCACACATTTGACTTGGTGTCAGATCTCTTTTATGCCCCTGGCAGAGTGGAAGCTGGCGACCAAACGGATAAAAGATTTTATTAATAATTGTTATTCCTTTTGCTGGTCAGCTCGGTCACCAGCTTTCACTCTGCCAGGTGCCTTCATACAAATCCCTTGGGATTTTTCTCTAAAATATCTTCAAAATCCCTTTTAAATGTTCATACGAATCCTCTTAATATTTAGTTAGTCCGAAAAGAAGGGCTAAGTATTTTTTTTCCCCCGATTTGTTATTGAAATTTACGGACTTTTCCCGATGATTTCGAATTCCCGGCTTTTTCCTGGTTCGATCACCCTGTTAGAGGGAATATTTCCCACCAAACTGCTTGCACTGATGTAGACGTAGATGCTGTGCCGGACACGAGGCATTTGGGCTGATCCCCCGATAGCTTCCTATGTTCGAATTCTGTTCAGTTTGTTCACCCGACCGGCGAACGTTTTTTAGTCCTGGTAACTTGCAAATTTAGGCTTGAAATAAGCTGTTCATCACGTCTTGTTTTACGGGACCTTCAAAACTACTCTGTGCCATCGAAAGATCTATAGTTAGAAAACTATCAGCACTTAGCACACCTCTTGTCTATGTTCCAGCTGATGATTATTCTTGTCATCGTTTGACTTTTAGATGCGCGAGGAATACCCAAACAGTACTTCGGTTAGGAGCTTGTGTCTACCAGAATCGGTATGTATGTATATACAATGTATTTTGCAAATCTTGCATCGATATTATATTCATTATTCTTTGAAACAAATCTTGATAAATGAAAGCAACAATCAAACTCAATCAGAAATTCATTTTGCTTCGATTCAACTTCCTCATGATAAATCAAATGCAGTAGAGAAATAAGAATGCACCAGAAGTATAGCATTCTGTTATCATTTCCGTCCGGCATTTTTCAATTTCTGGAGATTCTTGACAAACCCTGCGAAAATACATGCATGCACAACGTTGCCACAGGTCAGCATTCGAATGTCAACAATAAACAACAAACTCACCTTGAATGATGCTTCTTTCCTCGTCGTCGCTAATCTTCGGTCTCATCGGTGGCTCCTTCGTCATGGCTGACGATCCCGGACCAACTCTCACGTCGGTCATCTGCTGGGCGAACGTTTGGGCTATCTTCTGGATCAGCTGAGTGACACTGGTGGTGAGTGGCATCGGAGTGTATGTCTGCAGAAATTGCTCTGTCGGTTCCGGTGGTAATTTGCCAAAGTTGTTCATCACCAGCTGTGCAACGACTTCCAGCTTCTTGAGATTATCGTTCAGGAACTGTTCGTTCAGTACGTTCGATCTTGCTTTCTGCTCGTTAAGCTCATCGTAATCGATTTCCATTTGGCGAGGTTCTGGAGCAATTGCTGCAGCAGCAGCCGCTGCGGATCGTTCTTTCTCGCGACGCATATGTTCACCTAATTTGGCCTTCTTCGCTGCCAACTGTGAGGACATTGAACTCTCCAGTGCTCGCTTTGCCCGACGTTGCTGCTCACGTTTATCTAGTTTTGGAATAGCCCGGCCAATTTCACTGTTCGAGGCACCGAGATCTTGAAGGATTTGTACGATGCCGGTTTGATGCTCATAACAGGCCGGATGCTTCAGTAGATTCAAAAATTCCATTTTCAGTTTCTTCCGTACCGAACTGACTTGTGAATTCGATAGAGTGGGTGGTAGATTGGAGTGAAGATTCTTCAGTGCTTCTATCACCTGATTCATCATCGACGGACGCATCTTTGCTATGATACAGAGCGTACCGGTACAAGCGATTAGATTCACCAGAGAAATGTATGACGCCGCATGAAACTGGAGTAGTAATTCAAAAATGTGACCAGCTTCATCTTCCAACTTCCGTCTACGAGCGATCTTCAACGTCAACGGAATATTTTCTAAAGAAAAATCGTTTTCTCGTTTCATACTATCCTCATCCGGATAGGTCTGAACAATGACCACACCTTCCAGGAATTTGATAGCATTCGTTCTGATACCATCGTTATCATTGTCTATCATGTCCAAAATCGAGGCTTTAATCAAACATAACGTGTTCCAAGCTTGTTCTACCTCTTCCGTGATGTCCGACAAGGAACAAATCCACTGCAAAGCCTGTCTGTAGATCGCTCCACATCCCTGAATAACTCGCTTCGTGACGCTCGGTGCCGTGTCCCGCAGTAAGGCAAACAATATGTGGACCACCTTCGGAAGTAAGCTAATGTTCGCCTTGCAAACTTCCTCGATAAACCCGGCCACTGCCTTCCGAACATCCTGATTGGAATCGTGGGCAAAAGCCAGAATATTTTCCAAAAACTCCAGCAACAGTGCCACGTCCGAATGAATTGCCAGTTCTTGCACTTTGGCTATAATTTCGCACTTCTTAGTGGTGTTCGCCGTCAGGGAGTCATTCAGCGCTTCGATGATCTACAATAAAAAGTAGGGTTATGTTTGGTTATGACTCCAATGCAGTACAAACAAACAACGCTCAGCAACATTTTTTGTTTCGGAATTAAAACTATGGAAATCGACATACCTTTCCACGAGCGGACGCTATCTTTTCGTCCATAAAAAGTGAAGCCGTTTCCTGGCTGAAACTGGAGCTACGGAAAAAGTTGTCCATTTTAGTGGCTAGCTTTCGATCCGTCGTTCAATTGGAAAAAAAAATTGTTTCTGCACTTATTCCTGCTTCTAGAGTATAAAACGCTCAGCACAGTTAAAGAGTATTGATATTATATATCTAACTTCTACAGCGTAAATTTCATTTTGAATAGATTTTCAATCGAAATTAATACAAATTTATTGCTAAAACCGTAAAAACTTCGTACAACTGAAGCCGACCATTGCAAATTAATGACAGCCGCGATCAAAACAAACCGCGCCGAGCAGAGGCGTTACGCTTCGTTGACAGTATATGCGTTACAAGGTGGGGATATGAACAGTGTTGTCAGTATTATTGAACGCAAAAAATCTGGAGTCCTGAATAAAAATGTACACTCACAAAATAATCTAAACTAACTATAGTTTAAAAGTCTCACTGAATCACTATTCCTCGATTCGCCAGTTTGACCCATAGAAAGTACACAGAAAAAAAGTTGTTGAATATTGCATCCAAACTGCTGCAACCAGGTCAATCCATCGGTTGTGTAATATAACGATGTACGATGTACATCGATTTTGCGAACAAAATTACATCCCTGGGTTGTTATGTATCTTAACCATACAAACAATCAATTTTTCCCGAACAAACGTGAGCCATTTTCCACTAATTTTATTGTTTTTCTATTGTTGAAAATTCACACTATAACAATATTTATAAAATAGATTTCATTCTGATTTTATATTATTTTATGGTAATTGTATGGTTATTTTTTTCCGGGATGATTTAGTTTCCCTAATAAAAATTGTATGGTTAATTTGCTTAACGACGTGTTCTGGGTATCATCCAAACCATTTGTGGAATAGTTCAATGATTTGGGTTATCGTTAGTTTATGGTTATTTTTATTAGGGTTGTTTCTATTGCCGTAAAAATGGACAATGTAATGTAGTGTCTCTGGCTTGCAAACCCGCAGAAAAATTGATTTTTGTTTCAGGGCCTAATGTATTTTGTTATTGAATCAAACATATTGTATCACTTTTTCAACAAAACATATTTTTGAATCAATAAACTGGTTTTTAGAATCAACAAACAGAGTATTGACTCTACAACCGGTTTGTTGATTAAAAAATATTATTCTTTGAATTAACCGAATAATATATTTGAATCAATACCAAAAATATATTAGGCCCTGAGCCAAAAATATATCGATTTGAATTTAAAAAGCATTTCTCTGCGTGAAGGCATTTTAAAAACCATTTGAATAAGAATGACTTCAAAGTCAGTGATATTTTTTTACTGTATTTTCCCACGCTGTAACTCGCGTTACGGAAGTTTTCATTCGCCAAAACAAATTAAATAAATATATTTCATACATTTCTTTGACAAAACTGGTTTTACTTTTATAAAAATTCGAAGCAACGTATCCTTAATCAAAATTTAAAGCAGGATTTGAAGTGAAAACCGAGCGCTGCCCAAGAGAACCGAATTCTGTAATTGCAACAGGTGGGTCGGTTTGTTTGACAGCGCTCGGTAATTCTTGAGTAAACCGATGTTCGGTTATTTCCTCGGTTATTTTTGCTTAAATTTATTTTTTGTCAACCGAGATTTTCGGTAACTTTGACAAATTGTGGGTAACAAAAAGAACTAACGAAAGCTCGGTTATTCCTCTTTGAACCGAACAGAGTACCGAGCGTTTAGCGTACCGTTGAAATCAAACCGAGTTCGGTAATATTTTCTAAGTGTGTAGCTAGGGGCAAGACAGCTTTTGATCATGAGTTAAAACCGAGTTAATTTTGAGTAACTCTGAGTAGGACGAGTTATTCAAAATTCAATGCAAGCAGACTCAGCAACCATGTTTTTGTTGTACTCATTTCCCAGATTTCAAACAATATCATCTAAACGCGTTTCATACCGGATCATCTCTCTCAAATTTTGTAATTGTTCGTCCTCCAAAAAATAGTATAGTCCATCATTTATTGATTCGTACCGTGTAATTGTTCCATTCTATTTTCAGATTATAAATGAGTCATCTAGTCGCACATCTATGAGTACTAACTTGAAGAAGTTAAGCTTGCCTGGCCCTCGACTGAATGTTCAATGTAGTTGTAGTTAGAGATTACATTCGATTATTTTATTATATTATTGCAACATTGTACATTGTATATTATGCGTTAAAAACACAATATGCCTCATTAGTGTACCATGGCTCGACGACAAACACCACTGTTTTCAGAAGGCTTATCAATAAGGAGTTCCATGTTGCCGATGATTACAATTTTCAAATTCAAGCATGCGGATGGCAGGCTTAATTTTTAAATCAGACCAATCACTTTGGGTAGAAAACTTATTTATTATTTCTCTCCCATGTTACTGACTACAGTTTTTGTTTGTTATAAATTTTGTCCAAACTGTTACAAAAATATGCATCAATACTTTTTAAATCCGTGCCATGTGATTGGGTATTCAGGTTCTTTTAATAAACAGTAGCGGGGAAACTGCCATACCAGTCAACCACCAAACTGCTATTTCGCTTTAATCGACGGTATACTATAGGCAGCCTTACTGATAGGATAGAAACTGTATCATCAACAATCTCCGGAATCTGTTCCGTAACCTCATCACAAGCACTCGTTGGGTTGCCATCGATGTTTATTCAAACTGATAACAGTTGACCTGATTCCACTTGTTGACATAGGACTACTTTGATCACTTTTGAGTAATTATGAGTAACTTAAATTTACTCGATTTAAAAATATTAGCTCGGAGTATAGCTGGCTTGCCCCTACACACAAAGAAAAATCGTTGCTAAAATTAAAAAAAAACATTGGTAGAAATAAAAGTTTGCATTGGTTCTTTTTGGTAGAAAGCGGTTAGCTTTCAAAATGAAAGTCGATACATTATCAAATCAAAAGTTTCCCGATCACTACTTTTAAAAGTTTCAACTTTCAAACTGAATTGTACTAATGTCAAATGAAAAGCATGACAGTGTTAAAATTAAAACCGAATTATTTTCAACCTTTTAAAATTAAATGCTGCATTATTATTGTTAAAAATAAACGTTTTCAGTTATAAAAAAACAGTTTTTTCAATTTAATAACATCGTTTTTCATTTCAAAATCTATTAAAATTTGATTGGCAAAAAAGTAAAAATATAAAATTTTAATAAAAAATGCATTTACTCGATATAACAATAAAAATAAATTCATTAGGTATGTCTTCTCTTCCCGATACCAAGATGAGCTGATGCTCAACTTGTTCACGCCATTTTTACTCTTCCGATCCACATGAGGGGAACACCGGAACAGACATTGAGGATGGTGTAACGGAATCGGTAACGGGCATTTGGTGTGACATCAATCGCAACAGCCTTAAGCGAGGAATATTTTGTAGAACATTCTACTGGGGTGAGTGCTGGTCATTTTCAGGAATGAGAAGATGATCGGTTCCACTGAAAATTATAAACATGTTTAAAACAAACTCTTGAAATAAATTAATGCATGATTACTAGATTCTGAATCCATTCCGATGCCCGATATCCATTAAACTCCGCTATATTTGCCAGCAAATCCATCGAGAGCTTCTAGGAGGATCAGAACTGATGCGAACCGTCTTTGGAAGCAGCATTCTGGTTACGGTACTGCAAAAGTAAAACGAATGAAAACCATCATCGAACCATTTCCAAAACTTCTCACCTTGATGATTTTCTCCTGGATTGCTTGGATTGTTTCCCTCCATCTGCCGTGATAATTGCCTCCAATCCGTCGAAAATAAGCTAGCGTAAGCAGCGCGATTCCGGGGGCTGGGAGAAACCGGTGAAAGTAAAGTGTGGGAATCTGCTTGTTTTTAGTCGAAAGTGGCGGTAAACAGAAGTCCAGTGCTGCCAAAAACATTGCTCTGAAGAAGTATTTTTGAAAGTACTACAACTTTTATTTAAAAAAAAAATGCACTTTTATAATTACAAGCCGAAATTGAAAGAAACACTTTTAAATCAAAAAATCAATTTTCATTTTGAATTTTTTCGCAGTTAAAACTACGAATTTTGCGAAACTTTTAAATTGAAATTGCATTATTTTTATAGCAACAATTTTTGTTCTTTGTGTGTAGGTGTGTAGTATAAAATTTAAGGTACACACAAGGGGTTGGTCACTCTACACAATGTGCCAAAATCAAACTTGGGCACACCCGGGTGCAGTCATTGGTGCTGTTTGGCACCCATGGTTACAATTTTTATGGCCTTTAAAGTTACTGGCAACGCTGAACTTTTTCTGCGCCTGCGTAGTTTGCATGTGTCAAAATTTGTTATTGAGGTTGCCACAATATAATCAAATTATTTTCAAAACACAACCGTGAATCTCAACCAAGTCCCGCCATGGATTCTCACAATCGTTACACCCGTGACGGCAGTCACGTCCACATTTCTTCGCAGACGAAAAACAGCTGACTAGCGGTATCTTGACCTGACCGAGGTTTCCGGCCATGACTACACGAACAAGCGATGCAGATCCCACGGCTGCGGCTACTTCCAATGCTGCTGCTGGTCCGTCTTTTCTGACAAATCTATATAGGAGACGGAACAGCAGCCGCAGCCGTGGGAGCTGCATCGCTAATTCGTGTAGCCGCGACCAACGCTGGAAATCTTGGGCCGGTCACGACAAACGGTGCTTGAGTTTTAATTGGAAAGTCAACAACCAAACAAAAACTATACCATCCGACCATTCGAACTGCTCGAATACATCCATGGCGGTGGCTGCTACACCAACCATTCCATCGTCCAACATATAATGGAGGACCGTCTTGGCAAAATCTCAAATACCTAGTTCAACAAATTATTTTTACTCTCCTGCCTTTTTGCACAACTAACACAATAAGAAATTAAAATTACGAATCATAACTAATACTACACAGAAAAAGGAAAATCCTTTCTTTCCTTTCTCCAGAAAAATAAGCTTCAGCTCTTTCCAAGCTTACGGGTTTTCGATGATCTCGTTGCTCCACGCACCGTTCATAGACTTGGAAAAGGAAAAGCACAGCTTCATAATGAACGGGAATTTTGTGCCTTTGTGATCGATTACGCTGTGGTTGCACTTCATGATGGCGTACACCGCCAGGGCTTCACTCGGGAACTCGATCAATCCGAATGAGGAACATTCCGATTTCAGCGGAAACATTCGCAATTGCGACGGGTGGCAGTCCTTGGTGGTGAATGCAGTCAGAAGCAGATCCTCGGACATACCGGGTGGGGTATTGAAGAAGTGGAGAAGTTTGCTTGGGAATGGAAGCGATTATTCTTGGAGGTGCAGTACACCTTGAAGATGATCGAATTGTCCGGCAGAGTGTACGGGTTGGGGGACTCTGACAAGTAGTTCTGCTTGGAGAATGCAATTTGAATTTTGCTACCATCATTTCCATTAATTCAATGTTGTTCAAGTGCTGGATGCTGCGTTCGACTGGTTCTGCTGCGATGGCGTCTCCCATCTGGACCATGGCGGTACCGAGTCCGTAGACCTGCACCCTGTTGCTGTGCTGGTTGAATGAAGTTGGCTGGTCCGTTTCGGGTCATCGGGTCGGGCCCTTCATCTGTTCCAGTTTTCCGACGGATGATACTCGGGCGGAAAAAAAGCGGTGCAAATCCGTTTCCTTATCCGGCTCTCAGAAGGGCTGGTTGACGTTCGTTGTGCGGGGTCGGCCTTCCGCCGAAGATGGAAGAATCGTGTAGCAACAGAGCTCGTCCATTGCAGGCATCCTTGGAGACGGATGCATCCAGTGTGTAGTCCCAACTGGAGTCCGTGTCGTTTTTGAAAACATTGAAAAACAAAACAAAAACAAGAGCTGTTAAAATACCGGGTTGCCAAAAAAGGCATTATTCACAAGCAAACAAAAGTCAGTTCAATGACTTCTTGGCACTGCTAGAGTCGGTGTATAATGAGTCACGCCAAGAGAAAAACAGTTGAACTCGCATCACGGTTTCCGAAGGATTCCCTTTATTTTCACTTGGCAGCAGAGGACTTCTACATCAACTTTAAATGACTTCTAGCGAGAACCAAAAATAACGGCTGTAGTGAATCATAATATCAGTGATTTTGTCAAATTATCTTATCAAAAAATAGTAGAAATTCTCATTACTGATCAAAACCAAACGTATCCCATGACCATTTAATGCTCGCTGCGTGTTTATGATGATTTCTTCAATTTTATTTTATATTTCATTGCAATACCTTTCGTGGACCTTTCATAGCATCGTAATGTTTATTTACTTTGCACGATAGGTAGCCGATTTGACAGTGCAATAGGTAGACTTGGCTTCACTCTTGGCGTGACTCATTATACACTGACTCTACACGGTGTTTCGTGAAAACCCATTAATGGGTAAAAAAATACCCATTTTCAAACCATGTATGCAGCTGTCAAAAAATGGGGGAATTTTGAAATCATAAAATGGGTGAAAAAATACCCATTTAAAGAATTAGTTCACGGCTGAATAATGGGTATATTTTTTACCCATTAATGGGTGAAAAAACACTTCGAAATTTTATCGTCTCATTTCCGTCACCGGCTGCAAACCTCGATGCAAACAGTTACTGTCCGCAGCAACGATCTCCGGAAAAAGATAGAATCCAAAACGTTGGAGAGGCTTACGGATAAGTCAATACAATAGATAATTTGTATTATAATGTTTCGTGAAAAATTTGAGCGGAACACCTGCATTTATTTTCAATGTTTCAAAAACATTTTTATATCAACGAGCGCTTGCATCCTCCATTTGTAAAAATGGGTATTTTTTCACCCATTTTACGGTAAACACAATATAAGAAAATGGGTGAAAAAACACCCATTTATTGACAGACCACCCATTTACCCATTTATGAGTAAACCATAGTTTACCCATTAAATGAGGAGGGGCACTTTTAGCGGAAATGGGTATTTTTATACCCATTAATGGGTTTTCGCGAAACACCGTGTAGGCACTGCCTGTACAGCTGTGGCACACTGAGGTACACTGAGAAAAATGTTGGCACAAAATAAGTGTGTAGAGCAGCGTTGCCAGTTTGTTTTCATGATTATCGGTATCAAATTATTAAAAAATCGGTATTTATCGGTATTCACTATTTTGTTTTTTGACTAAAATTGAAAGATGTACTTTCTATGTAAGTCGGAAGAAACTTCTGGGAAATATTTGAATTAGTCTCTTAATGGTACCAACAAAACTTCCAAAGGGAGAATAAAGAAGATCTTGTGAAGGAAGTTTGAAGGAAGTTCTAAAATATGTCTAACAAACATCCAATGGGGATCTTCCAAGATAAATATTGAGAAACTTCTGGTAATTTTTTTAGGAACATGCGGAAAAAATATCCAGAAGCTAGAAAAGTTTGGAAATCGGAAGCCAATCCCGGAGGAGCCATTTCTAGGTGAAGTTAGGAGAAGCTCAGAAAAACCTTCCAAGAAGGCAGAAAAAACCTACGAAGAGTGACTTATGGAGAAACTTCCAGAGGAAGACGAAATAAACTTCTGGGCAGGGGTTGAAACAGTTGACGTTTTTTACTACACTCGCTTCGTTGTCGTGCGCGACAGTCTGTTTTTATTTGAACACTCATGCTCTACCGTCGTCTCTCTCACACAACACGAGCGGTAGAATAACATTCGAGCTAAAAGAAAATTATGAAAATAGCTATCATATGACATGTGTGATTTCGTTGTAATTCCTTAATTTGGTGTAAATCAAACCATTTCTGATCAGAAATATTATTACTAGGACATCATTGCTTGCTATTTTCAGAATTCACACAAGCACACCATCAGCAGCTCTTATTATGAGAAAAACTAAAATACATACATTCGTGACAGTCTTCGGCGACAGTGTCGTATGACAGAGCCTGTCATATAACATTTTAGTTTGGTACTGTACTATGATAGCTTGTTTTGCAAGTGTCGGAGGCAAAGGCAGTCAATTATCACAGAAAATGTGTCGACTACCGTGACCGTTTACAAGCCTGCTTCTGGGAGAACTCGATAGATACATCCGGTAGAACTTTCATTGAACTTCTTGGAGCAGATGGAAGAAACTTCCAGGGGAATCTGGGAAAATCTTCCTAAGGTAGATTGGATGAAAATTCTGGAAAAAGTCGGACGCCAGAGGACTTACGGAACAGTCGACTACTTCAAGGGGAAGATGGGAAAATATCTGGAAGAAATAGATTTCTGGGGGATGTTAGCTCAATATTCTCTGAAGTTTCTCACATGCTCTATTGATCCAGCAATTTTCCTGATATTTATAAAACATCCCTGAAAATTTCAAAATGTTCCTGAAGTTTTCGGAACTCAGGAATGTTTGTACTTCGGAATAACTCATACTAGGAACTCCTTGAAAGTTCTTACAATTTTCCTAAAGTTAATGGGGCTATTTTGAAGTTCTCTGGTCATCCTCGAAGTACTCGTAACTTCCTTGATTATTATGGAACTACTAGAAAATCTATTATCTTCTGTAAAAGTCCCTGGATCTTCTTTAGGGCTTTCAATTTATTTATTTTTCAAATTAATGAACATCATCATTAAAGTTCTCTGAACTACCCGCTATTTTTTTAAGTTTTCGAAACAGCCGGAAAAACACAGAACTTTCCTTAAAATGTTCTCACAATTTTCTAAAGTTCATATAACTTCCCTTACGTTACCAACATTTTCATGAACCTCTCGGATCTTAACTGAAGTTTTCAGAAATTTCCTTGAATTTATATGTACTAATGCTTCCCTAAAGTTATCTCAATTCTCCTGAAACAAAT